GTGACTTCTAGCCAAACAAAAGACAGGCATATGAGCTGAACATTTACATTAGGTAGATACACTCCTTGGAGAGATCAATCATGGGAGAACAGAGGGGCTGTGTATGTACAGGGAGACAGCTTGTGGGGGCAGAACTGCATGGGAGGGAAAGACACAGGAAAGAGGGAGGAAGAGGGAGGAAAACTTTTGCATTGTGGGAAATTGCAGTCAATGTCATAAGACAAAGTGTATGTGAACTAACTGCTGTATGGAAGATGAATTTTCTCTGTAAACTTTCACCCAAATCACAATAAAATTCAAAAAAAAAAAAAAAAGTTAAGTGCTTGACGACTAGACAAAAGATTGATGGTTTGAAGCCACCCAGAGGCATTCCAGAAGGCAGGCCTGGCAATCTGCTGTTTTACTCTACATACATGGAATCACCAGGAGTCAGAATCAACTTGACAGCAACTAATGATTATGCAGGTACAACTGATTGAACTCAACCTTTAGCATCCTTCCCCTGAGGTCAGGCTGATATTAAGTGGTGGTCTTTCTGACCTCCTCAGCCCCTACCTAAAAGGCACTTCATTAGCATAAACCCTCTGGTGTGGTCTGGAGGCCTCATCAAGGACATCTCCATCACTGTGGAAATTCCAAGGTTCTCTCAGGAACCAAGGACAAAGAACAATTTTTGAAAAATTAATTTATTATTTACTGCACAAGTAATTCAAATGCCTCAGTTCTTTGGTTTTTCTTATTCATTATCCAGCTTTTGCATGCATGTGAGGTGACTGAAAATGCCATGGCTTGGGTCAGGCAATTCTATTCTTCAGGGCCCCAGGCATTTCTCTCTTTTCTCTCATACCCCACATCCAATTTATCAGCAAATTCTGTCAGTCAACCTTTAAAATACTTACAGAATTCAACCACTTTTCACCACCTTCACTACTACTGCCCTGGTCCAAGCCACCTCCGTCTTCTTGTTTGAATTATTGCAATAATACCTGGTCTCCCCTGCTTTTTACCTTTGCCCTATTAGTGTAAGCTCAGCAAAACAGCCAGAGCGATTGTTTTAAAAATATAAGTAGAACATGTCCGCTCTGTTGAAAATGCTGTAATGGTTTCTCATTCCACATGGAGAAAAAGTCAATATCCTAACAATGGCACTCAAGATTCCTCAAAGTCAGGCCCCTCATTACAGTGCTGGACTCACCTCCTCCCCTTCAACTCTTGCTCACTTGCTTTAGCCACAATGGCCTCCTTGCTAGTTCCAAGCACAGCAGGCATGCTCTACCTGAGAATCTGCATTGCCTATCCTCCACTGGATTGCCTCTCACCAGATATCCCCAGGGCCCGTTCCCACACAACCTCAGGCCTGTGTTCCAATGCTACATTCTCAGTGAGGTTCTCCCTGACCTTCTCTCCCCTTCCCTGGTTCATTTCTCTTTAGCACTTACTACCAACTGATACCTACCAGTGCCAAGAAGGGGAAAAAAAAGCTGTCATCTGTCTTCCTGGACAATTATTTATTTTCTTTCTCACCAGACTAGAACAAAAACTCCAGGAGGGCTGGGATTTAAGACCATTTTCACTTCTGTATCCCCTTTGGTGAATTATTTTGTTTTGGGAAGATAGTGAGAGTTTACAATTATTTGCAACTGATAATTTCTTAGGTCATCAGCTTTATTTACTCTCTAGTATTAACATTACCAAGGACCCCTGATGTCACAGTGGTTAAAGCACTCAGTTGTAAACCAAAAGTTAGGTGATTTGAACTCAGCAGCTGCTTTGCAGGACAAAGATGTGGCAATCCACTTCCATAATAATTTACAGCCTTATAAACCCTATGGGGCAGTTCTACTGTGTCCTAGAGTCACTACAAGTCAGAGTCGACTCTATGGCAGTGGGTTTGGTTTGGTTTGGTTATTAACATTACCAGTTGCCATCAAGTCGTCTCTGACTCGTGGTAACCTCATGTGTGTCAAAGTAGAACAGTGTTCCAAAGGGTTTTCAATGGCTGATTTTTCAGAAGTAAACTGCCAGGACCTTCTTCAAAGACACCTCTGCGTGGACTCAAAGTTTGGACCTTTTGCTTAGCAGCCAAGCTTGTTAACTGTTTGCACCATCCAGAAACTCCTGTACCTGGAACAGTGCTTGGTAAATATCAGATAATGAATTAATAGTTATTTAATAAAAGGATGGAGAAGGATGAGTGGAACTGGAGAGTTAGTGTATGGAAAGAATTAGGAAGGATCAAGGGGTTGGATGGTAGCTTTGGCTGGAGCCTATCTCTGGAAAAATTGTAGAGATGGAGATTTTCTGCTAGAATAGATCATTTTGTTGGGGAATGGGTTAGAAACAGAGTGGTAGGAAGGTGGACCTATTTTTCAGATGTTCTGCTTACACATAGTAGAATAAGTACCAGTTGAGTGAATTAGCTGACTACAGGGCTTTTAAGGATGAAAGGAGAGTCCTTAGTGATTTTTGAATGGAAGAATAAAATTT